CTAAATGATAAATTTGTGTTAGAGTTAAAATATGGTTAATATAATCATTTATGAATATCGTCTTTGTCCATTGTTCAGGACATACGTCATCTAGACTAAGTCGAATAGATTTTGATAATTGATCAGAAGTATTAATCATCTTATGTTCTGTATCATATTCATACCATCTTTTTCTAAAACAAAAAAAAAAAAAATAAATTATTCAATATAAAAACTTTGTTTTTTGATATACTGATATGGACGGATTGAATAAATGATATTTTCATCTTCAACTTCAATGTCTAATATCCATCCTCGTTGAAGCCAAAATGATGAAATAAATTGATCACGTTGTCCGGAATACATTGGAGTTTGATAATCTTCTGCAAAATATGCACTATATTTAAAATAAAATTTTTCTAATTGAGGTAATTTTGTTAAAATAAAATTTTCCCATCGATTAGCATCAAGATAAGCAATATCTTCAAATATTGTTGTCAATGATAAAATTTTTATTTTTGAATTTAATTTACTAATGAATATTTCAAATACATTAAATGACATTTTTCTATATATATGAATAGAAAGATGTTTTAAATTTGGTAATATCATTGGTTTAATACTTGTAATATCTACTTTTCGATGTGTAAGACTTAAAAATTTTAAATGATGAAGATTAGGAGTATAAGATGTTATAGCAGAAAGTTCATCGAAAGCACAAGGATGTTCCATAATAAGATATTCGATAGAACTTATTTGTTCATTAGTAGCAATTGGTAATGAAATAATTATATCTTCATTGGATTCCATTGCTCTAAAGTTGATATATTTTAATTTTGGTAAGTTGAAAATTAATTGATAGATATTACCAAGATCTTTTATATTAGACCATATTTCGATTGTTAATGAGAAAAGACGAGATAAACAAGTTAATGTTGGAAGAAGTGAAATTAATAGATCTGATTTAATTGCATAAAAAACAAGAGATTCAAGACAATTAAATGATGAATCAATAGTAAATGTTGAGATAATTTGATTAGTATTTTCTGATGTCCATAAATGAATCGAAAATATTTGACCTTTATTGAGATGTAAAATTTGTTGGTAATTATTCATAAATATTTTTTCTGATTTTGAATTATCAAGTTTTAGTTTTAATAGAAGTGATGAAGAATTAATTAATTTTTGAAAACGATAATTAAGTTTTGAAAAAGCATAATAGATTTTACAAGCATCAAGATATCCAAATATTTCATAAAACAATTCATTAGATAAGTCTTCAATTGAACTTATTGACATTCTAAATGAAAATTTAACTTTATTTTGAATATAGATAATAAAAATGAAATGTTATTGAATAAGTCAATGTGTAGAATGAATGATCTAGAAAAAAAGAATGAAGAAATACATGCACATGTATGTTTTTCGTTATTCTTTGTTAACAACAGAGAATGATTATTTTTCTTTTCTCTAAAGAATATATCTGATGAATCATGTCCACGTTTCTTGTTCATCTTAAATAATAAATAGTATATGAATTAATTGTTATCCTAATTAAGTTCTTATCCATAAAAACATGATTCTTTTCTATTATTATCAAGTTTTAATCTTATTAAAAAGTTTTATACAAGAACAAACATAAAAATCATTTCCATTACAAATAAATATTTTCCATTATGCATTTAATTGCATAATCGATTAGTAATTTTTTTGAATTAATCATTTTAGTTAATTTTTCACTACAACACGAAAACACAATAATCAAAGTTGACAATTCGATTTTGTCACTGATCTTTGTTAAAATAACTCGTAGAAATAATTCAATATCCATATTATTGAAAAAATCTACTTTGAGATATATCATATGAGGACACAAATCAATTAAAAAATAAACTGTGATAATGACATAGAAGAAATTTGTAATGAATCAAGTTCTGGTAATAAATATAATATGTACCATTGAAGAGTTTGCTACGAATTTTCAAATGATAAATCGGCACTACAGTTAAAATATAAGGAGTTGTTTTGCTTAACAAATCAAAAAACATCGTCAGTCGAAGAACTAGTAAGAGCAATTCGCATAGATTTAGAAAGTTCATTATGTTGTGTATTATCTTCATACTATCGTTTCCTAAACAACAAAAGATAAATTCTTCAATGTAAAAAAAATTTCTGTTTTATATATACTCATATAGCTCGATTAAATATATAATGCGATCATAATCAATTTCACTTTCTAATACCCATTTTCATTCAATCCAAAATGATGACGCGAATTGATTTGATTTTCCGAGATACATTGGAGTTTCATCATCAATATTAATAAATACATTATATATTAAATATGGTCGCGGTGAAGTACCTCGTTTAATATTTGCTACAGCTGATCAAAAATATGAAGATATTTGTTACGAAGATGATGAATGGTTATTACATAAATCTGAAATGCCTATGCTTGAATCTGATAGTACAAAATTATCACAATCAAAAACTATTGCTCGTTTTCTTGCTAATTCGATAAACAAGATGATGCTAAAAGAGAAGAATTTTCTAAGTATTTACAAAATCTCGATGTTTTACTTAAAGAAGTTGGTAATGGTGGTTATCATTCTTCGTTGGTAATCATTTAACATGGACAGATTTATATTTTTATAACTTTTTCGAAACTATTCTTGGAATTAACGAAAATTGTTTAGATAATTATCCATCATTAAAACAAAATCGTGCAGAAGTTGAAAAACAGTCAAAAATTACAGGCTATCTTAAAAATCGACCTAAAACATCAATTTAAACAAATATTATTGATGAATATTCACAGATGATTTTTTG